AATGCGGTATGTCCCTCCGAAACGTCAGTGTACATCTCCCGAACTACAAGGCGTTACAACTCAGAAGACCGTACTCTTCTCAGTCACAGCTTTGAAGATCCTCAAAGCCAACGTGCGGCGACTTTATTCACTTATTACTTCGAGTTGGACAGACTGCCGGTTTCGCTGCACGCCACTGAGGCTCCAGTCACCTATCAGTAGGAACGTATGTGATGTGTAAGGTGTTTTCTACAACTGTAATGTGGGTCAGCGGGACGGCGCCCTCCGGGTCTCGGCCAGCCATTCAAATGATCCCCCTCTCATACAGAATTGGACAATGATCGTAAAAAATTGAGAAACCTGGCACTGGAGATAGTCTTCAAGGTCTTCCGCTTCTATTCCGTCCCTTACACCTTCAAGGTCTTCTACTGCTACTCCGTCCCATACACCTACACATTTCATGTGTACCCTGTCACACCATAAACAGACTGCGCTAAACGAGCACAAGGGCACGTACTAAATAATGAGAGCGTAGGTGTGGGTTGAGAGGGGATGAGGGTTGCTACAGAATTAGTACAATGACCTCTTGCCCCCTCCCTCCCACAAGAAAGTATGCTACACAATATTGGCTAACATGTATAACAAGCTCATGGTACACACTGTCAGTCCTCGAAAATATGGGACTTCTTGGGAACCTAACAGTCGTTCAGCTGGGCGTGAAATTCCCCGCCTTTTAAAGAACACGAAGGCTCATTACCCTGCTCACAACAGCAAGCCGGTGATCCTTATCCAAAGTCACATTTACCTAATTCATATACTTAAGATCTTATTTTAATATCATCCTCTCACTGTACAGTCTTGCAGTGGGTCTCTTCCTTTAGGATTTTACGATCAAACTTTTGTGTATACTTCTCATCCCTTCTATGCATGCTACATATTTTAAAGCTCCTCAGGATGCAGTCTTCTTCAGTCTACTGTTGCCTCCTTCCTCTTAGGTCCAAATATTCCCTTCTTGATCGTGTTCCCAATACCTTCAATTTATACAGCCATCAGATTACTTGTACAACAGGACAGGTCTACTAAACAAAAGGCTGTGCTTTATACCTGCTCCATATTGCCCACATTTTTATGTTGACATGCTAACAGTTTGTGGACATCATTTCCGGTAGTTCATTCATTCAGCTATCATTAAATGGAAATACAAACTGAAGCTTGTTTTACACATTACTTTTGCAGCACCAACAAAGTTACTGCCAATGATTTCTTCCTTTCATACATATTAGGTTACAAATTTCACCCTGCACTTATGGACACAATCTTCTGCCATTACCTTACTGTCGACATATAAATGAAAAATAGGCATGGGAATTTAGAAAGCCCCTGTGTCCAATATTCATTTACATCACCACCACTTCAGAACTGAGGTAATGTAAACAGGGCTCAAGAAGGTATCTGAACCTGGGAAAGATAACATAACAAGACAACACAAATGATTATAAACACAATACATACACCACAATCTATCTCCTATACTTAATGGTGTAACAGTGAATACATAAAGATGTATGAAACAACCAAGATGCGTAGCAGGCAAGGGACATCAGAAAAATATTGCTTTGAATACCTCAAGGGAAGAGACCACTTTGGAGCCCTAGGCATAAACAAGATGGTAATATTAAAATTAATCTTTTAAAGGCATGGAGTATGAAGGTGTCGAGATACCTTGTAGAATATAAAATGCAAATGAGTATAATACCACATTGCAGCATCCTGTTGCACATCACTTATTATTCAAGTCACTGATTCAACTGTCTTTATAGAACTTATTTGTAAGTTTCTTCACATTACATGTTATTAACAATAAATAATACACACAAAACTCAACAGGATGAACTATTCATTGGATGAACAAGCACATAGATGGCACCACATATCAAATATGGAAACTACAACATGGACACGCTGCAATTTTCATCAACAATTTTAAACACTTGATGATGATGACAAGTGTTAGTCCAAACATGCAATGTGATGTGAAGAAACTTTTAAAAAAGTTTTGGAGGGGTGTGTTGCATGTGAGATGGTTGAATCTGTGACCTGAACAGCAAATGAGAATACTTGTCAAACAATTTTTGAAGTGAAAGAATTTTAACCCTTAAATCACAGGTGTGGAGACAGACTGGTGACTGCCCCAGATGGCTTCCCCCTTGCCACCCAAAATTTCTCGCACCTGATACATTATGCTTGTTCATACATCTTTCATTATCTTGCTCACTTTACTGTCAGTCACTGATCAAATAATTAAGATAATAATGATGATGATGATGATGATGGTCATATTACCCTAGTCTCCATAACAGTCACAGTTTTAACAATACTATAAATGTTAAACACAAACTGCTTCATGTAATTAGTGGAATGGGCAGAAATGCAATTTAATTACTGCATGAAAAAACAAGTTCTGGGAAGAATTAATAGATTATTTTCCTTGAACTACATGTCGAATATTTCGTACAACACAGCACTCAATAGTTCTTCTACTGCTGTGTGTGTATTCACTGCCACAAGACTGTTCACCAAGCCATTGCCTAGGAATGTTACGGGGAGATAGACAGCAAGGTAACCTCATAAGCCTCCTTTTATTTTTAAAAAATAGGAAAAGCAGGCTAAAATGCATTCTGTCATCATGAGAGTAACAGAAAATAATTTTATACAAATATGAAACCATAAATGAAAGAAAATGTGCAGCCTATCCTAATATGACATTAGAATGTAAAGCTCCTCTGCAGCTTCCCGTGAAACCAAATCAATTTTTTAAAAGTGAGAGCTGGTAAGTTAAATATCTTGAATAGAAATTTCCATTTAACAAGTCTATAAGCTGTAATTCTTAGTACACTTTGCAGGTAAGATAGACATATGATTGTGTTTGTGTGCCGGTCCTAGTCTACTAACTTGAACTGAAAGATTTCCACAAAACCTAGCACAAACAGCATGACATTAGAGACACCTCTCACGTGTATTTCTCAATTTATTCCCATCAGAAAGATCAACATGATGGCCATGTGAACTTCTGAGGCTAGAGTAATATGCACTACTTCACGTATGGCCTTTAAAATTTTGTATGGCAACAGATGTTCCAAACATATACAACATTTAACTGTACTCTTCTGTAACATGAAAAATTATATGACAACTGCATAAAGTTTGTACTTGGATTTGTCTTTATATCATATGGAGATACCACCTATAAATACTGTATGCATCATTCTTTTATAAGTTTACAGTTACAAAACAGCAATGATGAAAATATATGATGACATACATGTAGTTATAATTTGTACCAGCAGAAGAAATGCACAGAAATGGAGAATTAAATTGTGTTGTTACTGGCCTAAATTAAACATATGAAGGAAAACAGATGTCTTTATTTCCAGAAATTGTTTATAAGCTGGCAACAAGCATATTTAATATGTTCAACAATGAAACACATTTTAAGCCTGCATTAAATTTGGAATGTAGTTCTAAGTGTGATAACTTTCTGTCAAATTTACGTTATATTCAATCTTTACTTCCACATTTAAACCTTTTCAAGAAAGAAAACCACTGAAGTACTCAATTGAACACGAAATAACCCCACATCCCTTCCCTCAAACAAAGAATGTGGCCCACAGCTCAAAACTCGCTGTGCTAACAGGCACTGGAGGTCACAAAATGGATCTGTATTTTCATCCTTTGCCAAGTTTAACACAGCAAATAGTACAAAATGAATGTCACTTACCCTGCTCAATGTACCAACACAACATATGAAACGACATTTAAATTAACTTGGCTATTAGCATCAACATATAGTGAATGTAATGACATTATAAAGGATTAATGAGTCCAGCAGAATAGAAAAGGTACTACAATTATGACAAAAAAGCTGTAGAACATGAATGTAATGTTGAATTTCATTAAGTCAATGAAAGTGCCCGCAACATTTCAGAGGCACAGCTATCACAAGAGAATGGGATTCAAACCTACAAACCACTTCATAAAATCCAGTCTTCTGGAAAATTCAATATTTTTCTATTACTGAATGAGCAGACACATTCAGGTGAGACTACTTCTACTGCAATGCTTGGTTAGAGAATATAAAATGGAAGTAGTACCACTATACCAATAACAGAAACAAAAATGGACCATGTCGCTATGAATATGACCCAGAATTCAAAATTTCAGACTACCCTTAATGTTATTAATTCTGAAAGATTTATGAAAGATTCAACTTACATAATGACTTATGAATTCACACTAATTATGGTACTGGCTTCTAACGACAGAGGCTCTTGTTCATTTCCAAGTGACTTCATGTGTGATTTGTAGTGGATAATGTGGCACTAGTGGTATTTCTCGCAGTTTTTTCATTCTGCCCATGTTACTCATCATTTCATGACTACTTCCACACTCATTATTCCTATCTCTTGAGACATGTGATACTACTGATCACCCAGCACATTAGCATATACTGTCTCTACATTAGGACTTCATTTCTGGCCCCCCACTTGGCTGGTTACAACATGCATCCAATTTTCTATTTATCAAAGTAACTGCTGACAATCTGCTATGATCTGATGCTTTTCCCCTGTATCCAAACTCCCGTGACAGCCAGCCAACATTTCAGTTTTTGGTCACAAAAAATGAGACCTGGTACAAACGGAATTAGTTCGTTATTTTCTGTTCTAATATCATCAGCACTGGTACTGATCACCCATCGAATCTGTAAACGCCAAGCCTTCTGAAAATGCAATTGGAATAACGACCATACACTGTCAATTTCACGAAAGTGCACAAAAGAAAAACATCGTACAAAACGCTTGCAGATTTATCACTAGTAAGACGACTGTTCCTCATTTTTTAACCAACATTTTCTTGGACTTCCGGAGAACAAACTATCTGCTCAGCCATTTTACGCGCCCAGCCGTTGGTGTAACAACGTAGAGTAACGCCCATGCAACTCATCAGTATCTTCTGACACGTACCTTTATTATAAGCTCGATCTCCGGCACATCTCCTCCGTTTGTTCCATTCTGAATTGATTCGTCTGCCATGCTGTATTAGATACTTTCTATTTCACCACAATTTATACACTATCAGAACCACACTCTCTTAGCCTGCCTGACCCACTCCGGCAAGAAATTTGAGGCAATGTTGGAAGACTACACAGACTACACTATGCGCAATACGCTATGCGCAACACGACCAAAGACTATAAAACAAAGATATTTCGAACACAATTTGCCGGCACAATTTTCTTACATGTTTTTCACACAGTAGCTGCTTGTCTTTAATATGTGAAATGCAATGCACAATATAAGGTACAAAAAAACGATCATACATACAAATTTACGATTACATGTACCAATTTTTAAAATTAGTCATTTTGGATATGTTGTTAACGTAACGATAGGAACTTCCGGCTAAATTTGGTTAACAGGGTCACCACAATAACATCCTTATATACAAATGTCCCTGTATTCAAAACAGAGAGGCGGGAGGAATTACCAAGTGATTTATGGTATTTTAACAATGCCGTCGCTATTTGCAGTATATAGCGACGAATGGCGGTATGATTTATGAATTGGAAAGGATCTGAACCAAAGACGTTGTGGCCTAATTGAAGTCCTATTTGCGTGGAGGGACCGCTAAAACCACAACAATTCTAGTCAAAATAGCCAGCATCCTTTCAAAGATTCAAACCAAGCATTTGCTGAATAAAAGTACCCAGAGTTTCACTGTTAAACCCACTAAATTCGGAGGATTAAAATCTTTCCCATGAAAAAAAAATAGGAATACAACCATTTTAAACTCACAAACAAAAACAACATTAAAAATTATTGTTCCTTTGGAATTAATCTTTATTCTACACGAGACATGCTGCATAATTAATATTATCTGTGTAATATAGTTGACACAGACCAACAATTTACAGACATTCTGAACCTTGTTTTATTTGTGTTTTCTAATGCCTCCTCTAGTTCCTTTGCATTTCAGATCTTTTAGTTTCTTCAGTGTTTGATTTTGCATTTGTATATGAAATTTCACTTTACCCCATCAATTTATACAATAGAATTCTCTGTGATAACTTATTTATGCCTCTGTGAAAGGTTTCTTATTTGTGCACCTTCTGTCTTAGCTTAAGTTTGGTAACAGCTTTTTTTTTTTGCTGGTATTTAATATCTTGATGAGTTTGACTTGGTTCTGTTACAACCTCCATAACTGAAGATATACATTTAGTTTCTTCTATTACTTTATCAGAGAACAAAACTTTTGCTGTCTCAAATATGTCTGATTCTCTATGTACTACACAATCCAATACAGGCAATATTAATTTTACCACTCCAGTTACTAGATTTACAATTTGATTTGCCATTCCCTCTTCTGAATTACATTCATGCAACACTTTATCCACTAAACATTGTGCCATTTTCATTTTAATATTCTTCTCACAGTCACTTTCCTCATCTGAAATCTGCAGTGTCTTATACCTGCTCCATCACTCCATTCACAATAACCTTTGACTGTTCTGAAATTCTTGCTAGCACTTCAGGTAATTTATCAGTTTCTTTATTCAAACTAACTCTCCACCATCCTTAGATAATATCATATGAGTCTTGCAGGCTCAGAACCTGTTCTGGAGTTGTGCATGTAATATCTGGATTCCACTCTACCGAATACATACCCATGCAGTACAGATTTTCATCCGAGAAAGATGGTACATCTTACGAGATGTACATTAACCAGTGTACTGACATTTTGTTTTATCATTAATTCCTTAACATCTGTTTTAGAAATTGATGGATCAGATGGTAATTCTTCTACACAGGCTCTTTCATCTCCTCTTCAGACTTCATTAGATTTAAAATAGCACTGATTTCTTTCCCTTCAAAAGTTATGACACCAGTTTCAGATTCTAATGCACTGTTTAGGTTTATCTTAGTATGTTTCTACAGCCTCAATGGCATTCAGTACTTCTACACCTTCCACCAGTTCCATATAATAGGAATAATAAATTTGATCTTGGGGTACCCCAGTAATAATAGCTTTGTATTTTAGTTTGCAATCATTAGTTTCTTATATATATTTTAATTGTTATTTATCTTATGTTAAGACAACCTTATGCAATACATCAATGTATTCTACTGACAATTTCTATATCCAATGGTTATGTACCTGACTGGATTGATGAATGATAACAAAAATAAAAAAATAATAAATAATTTAAAACACATTTATAATTTGGTATCAAATACAGAACTGTGAAAGTAAAATCAACTTGAAAATGAAAATGCATTTAATAATGGAAAGCTATATGTCACATTTCAGTATAATCAGGATGTGTGTTTCAGTGTGAGGGCACAAGTGTATATGTGTGTGCACATGCGTAAGAAAGACAGAACACATTTAAAATATATTTGAAAACAGAAAAACTGTTAATAGTGACATACTTCTTATATCTTAATGGATGTGGTATCAGTATTCATCCTGACTGAAGGTTAAGGGTGAGTGGGTGATGTGCAGAATTTTAGTTGTTTGGTCAGTAACAGATATATGCATATCTGTTACTGACCAATGATATAAACTGATATAAACTGACTGATATAAACTGATAAAACATTTGAAAAAACTGATGTGGTACACAACATTACGACTAATTACATCACACCTAATTTTCAACAAAATAAAGATTGGAAAGTTCCAAAGATAATGTGCTGCACTTCAGAGAAACTGCAAATGAGGAATCTTCCTTCTGTGAAGTGATCAAACTATATGGCATCCCATCGCAGAAGATAGTATAAAAGTTAAAAAGGTAAAGCTATCTCTATACCAGGAGGTGAAGGCCCATAGGGTTGTGAGACGTTGAGTGTCCCACACTATCTAGACAATCGGCTCAAAGATGGTGGTAAGGTTTTCTGCCTTATGCACCGGCCATGCTTCACTCCCCAGGAAAATTATTTAATTAATTCCTGGTACTCATTTCTGTTAGAGGCTGAGTAAACCCCAGGGCCTAGTGTGGCTGGAAGGATTAGGTCAACTGAAAAAGAATCCAATGACTTCATCGGGACTTGAGCCTGCAACCTTCCAACTTGTAGCATAGCCCTTCAACCAACTACATGTTTTCCCCCATCTAAAATCTGACAATGAATATGTTTTCAATATGAATGGCAAGGAGAGGAGAATAACAAACTTAAAAAGAAAAAAAAAACAGTCGTTTCTGTAGCACCCCATTTAAGCAGTAACATAGGAGAAATACATTTACCCACTACTCATTCCATCAAATGATGAATTTAGATCCACAAACAAATTTGCTGAACATCATGGTTGGGAAGGCAGCACTCTTGCTTTGTATTTTGAAGATCTTGAGCTCAAATTTCAGCTTATAGACTAGCTATCCTCAGGTTTTTTGGAGAGATCATCACGCTCTCCAACAAATGTCAGGATTCCACCTCAAATTAGGCCATGAATACTTCCTTTCATAGCCTTTCAAATATGTTTTTCACTAATTATCCAATCATTTACCATTAGATTGTCAGAATTACTAAAAATATCATTAATGAAACCATAAATAAATTGATTCAAAAGATAACACTTATTTACTATAACAATGGCATTAAGCAACAGTATTCTTAGGCATATTAACTGGGATTAAATGTATTTGTTTATCTAATGATGCTGACACTAGCTTAGACTAAGTAGCATTAAATTTTAGGATTATTTGCGAATACTGAATTGGGAAGGATGTGGAAGGAAGTAGCTTTGGCCTAATTTGAGGTACTATCACTGCAGTTTCCTTGAGGGGCTGTGAGAACTCATAAATAGCCTCAGACAGGATAGCTGGTCTATGGGCCAAGATATGAAACCAGGACCTCCAAAACACAAAGGACAACTGTTATCTACTTGGCCACAATCTTCAGTCTGGGCTTGTTGTTGTTGTTAATGGAGAGGGTGGGTTTCCCCATGCACTTAGATCAGGTATTGGTCCATTGTGCGTCCCCTTTTGATATTCTACCAGTCTCTATACCTTACTGGTACTGGTGCGTGCCATCAGCCCCGACTCAGCCGGCGAGTTCGGCCTCTACTGGCTCAGTGGTACGTCGATGCTTCCCCCATCTACCAGAGGCGTTTGAGACTACTGTTGGGTGGGAAATGCCCTGAATTTGGCTCAGAGGTCTCCTTAAGACATTAGGTTCTTTTACGTGCCATAAACTACGACATGGGACCCACGGCTTGAAGTCCCTCCTGGAGGACTTGTTCCCTGAATTTTTCCGCCCTTAAAAATTCCACGACCTCCGCAGGGTTTGAACCCGCGTACCTTGGGTCATGAGGTGGGAACGTTACCCCTAGACTACGGAGGCCGCTTTCAGTCTGGGTTTAATGAATTTAATCTCTATATACTACTGCTGATATACACGTGCACAAGCCTTCACATGGCAGATCAACATGTCCAGCCTCCAAAACAAATCAGAGTAGGGCTCTGATGATATATGATGATATATAAATTGTGGCATACCCATATTTGAAATGCAAACAAATAGCTTAAGCATGCTGCACAGAGTTCCAACTTATGGATCCAACTCTACTGAGATTCCTCACAATCTCAGCATCACAGCCATCCAGTCCAAGGTCTCTTAAAATATCACTTCCAGGGGATTGTCGTGAGTGAACTTTCTCTGATACTGGTTTCATTTTCACTAACATAAGGTACATGAACAGTTTCTCATTCAGTGCTGCTGCAATTGTCTGCAGGAATAACAAGAGACTCTGGTCACTTGGCATGTGTTTTGCCGAGTGCTCCAGTGACCCTAAGAGTTGACCTGAATATGCTGGTCCAAACAGCTGCTTGTTGGAGACATCCAAAATAGTGACAGAGTTCTGGAAGTAACAAACATTATTGTACTTTTGTTCTTTTACAGTAAAGCTATCTACAGATGGAAAATTTTATACCTTAACATACAGATGAGCTGTACTGAAAATATATTCTTTATTACACTTCATACTACTGTTCTAGGACAAAGCAAGCAAGTAAGTATGGCTACATTCAGAGCGTAAATATATACAAGTCATATATAATTTTCTCTACTACAGAAATAACATTAATTTTTACATCCTGAGACTGAGGCACCTTAAGTATTGGGGTGGGGGGGGGATACAGCAAACTCCTACTTGTCCCATATCTGAGCTAATAACATGGAAAGAATAAACTGAATAATAACACACTTTACTGTATTTTTTATGGTATAATACTTTGTATAAGCACAAACATGTTATAAACAATCTCTATTACAGAAACCCCACGTTTATAATTGATTCCTGCAGTGAAGAATTTATGAAATTGTGGTAAAATTCTCTATAACTGAGATAAACCACAACACTACTCAGTTGAGATAGCCAACCATAGAACTTTCTGTAAAAACTAATTACTCCAAGAAAAGGGATCTACCCTCAGAAGCTAATAGTGGCTCAGATAGTCAATCAGGTAAATCGCTGGTGGTCCTCACTAGCATATTCATTCTTGGTTCTGAATCCTGTGAGACTCATGATCATATTGTTACATTTACTGAAGTCTCCAATCCAACAATTCAACCAATCCAATTTATCCTACTTCTGACACCAGCTGTCATGTGTTAATAACTAGACAAGGGGTTTGAACTGGTAATTGGGTTTATTGACCTCTTATAAATTGTAACTATAAGTAATTATAATGCTTTCACTAATTCACACATTCTCCTTCTCACTACAGCACAAGGTAAGTCATCTCAGCTTGCTATGTCTTCACCATACATTGCCTGGTAATGTCTCCCAACAGTGGTGATTCTTCTGCTCTCATAATTACATCATTGCGGTCTGACTACCATCTCACAACTCACAACCAGTCCTCAAGAAGCCACTCTCAACTATTAACTGGCTCCTGTCCTCATTACATAGCCTAGGCATGGACTACATACAAAACACCACCCCAACAATTCCTCTACTGTTGTGCGCATATCTACTGCCACAGAAATGTGTTTATCCAGCCATTACCATGTGATGAATAATGTAAACATGTCACAATACTTTACTGTCTCAGGACTCTGGTGGCCATGCAACTCTGCGCTTGCTCAGCAAGTCAAAAAATTCCGTCTTTTATGGACTCCTAAGGTTCATTACGATGTTCCTACTCTACTTTTCTAAGACTCATTTTAATATTAGCCCCCCCCCTTCCCTGTCTATGAACTGATCTTCAAAACAGTCTTGTCTCTTCAGGTTTTATGACCAAATTGTGTGCGCTTTTCTCATGCAGATAAATAACTCAGGAAAAAATAATTTTTAAGTTCCTCGTACCTTATCCTTGGAACTGATCATGTCATGTACTGAAAGCCTCTCTGGAACGCAGACCCCAATCATATGATAGGAGGAAATGTGCGATGGCACCAGGATACCACAGTGCCACCTTTGAAAACAAATGACAGAAAATCAACAATGACTTAAATTATTTACTTCAAACCAGCTCCAAGAAACTGAACCCTTCTTGAGAAGCTAACAGTTGCTCAGCTAATCAAAATTTCTCAGCATTTTATGAAACCCAAATGTACATTACCATGTTCAAGAACTCCCACCAGTGGTCCTTATACTAAGAAAGGAAATCACTGCACCTCACAGATTTGATCTACAGGAGTCTTCATGTGTAAACAAAGAAGTTGAAGTATTTAATAGGAAGTTACATAAAATAATGAAAACCATGAACAATGTTGAAGTTCTACAGACTAAATTAAATAGGAATGACTTTACCCGTCATGGATTACACCTAAATATTTCTGGTAAAGAAAAGATTGCTAAGACAATAAGTAATTATATAAAAAACCTTGGTATGAAGAAAGAAGAATTTCCTATCGCGATGAAATGGGAAGAAAATGTGTTGAAAAGGGATCAAGAAGTGACCAAAAGAAAACTTATAAAGGATAAAAAACAAGTCCCCAATCTTAATGAAGTTAGATCTTCCAAAAGACTTAGACAAATACCAACCACAAGGAAGGTTGATTTTTTATGGACAGCAGACTAGTTATCGATAATGATAATGTAAATATTATAAATAATATGACTAGGAGTTTTACTCCAATCTATGCTAAAGGTTCAAATGGGCATATAATATCTGGGAATAACTACATTAGGATACCAGATAACTTATATGATCTATCACCGAATATATATGACACACTAGCAAATAAAACTAAAATATTATCAAATGTAACTGAGGATTATAGTCAGGCTTCAAATCATTTTCTAAAAATCTACCATCAAAATATAAGGGGCCTAAGAAATAAATATAATGAATTATTCTGCCACTTACTTCAGGATCTTCCTCACATTATATGTATATCAGAACACCACCTAAATGAGGATGAACTTCAACTGATTCATTTTACTGATTATTTATTAGGGTCCAAATACTGTAGAAAGACTTTTAGTAAAGGTGGTGTATGTATATATGTTGACAGTAAATTCAAATATAATATTATAAATACTGAAGAATGTAATATAGATAAAGATATTGAAACTTGTGCCATTCAATTAGATGTAAATCACCATAAAATATGTATTTTAACTATTTATAGATCCCCTAAAGGTAATTTTAAAAAGTTTCTCAAACAATTAGACATGATTCTGCATAAACTCTATAATAAGAGTTATAATATTATAATATGTGGTGATGTAAATATAAATTACCTACTAGAAAATCGTGAAAAGAGTCAACTCAATACCTTATTACAATTATATAATTTATCCAGTATAATTAATTTTCCTACTAGAATTGCACTAAATTCTTCGAC